TACTAACTACTAACTACTAACTACTAACTACTAACTACTAACTACTACTACTACTACTGCTACTGCTACGTCTCTACACTGGTCTGACTCAAAACCGATGTCTTTTCTTTATTTTCGTGTCGTGGGAAATAGAAGACATGTATGATCATGCAAGAACTCTGAAATTCTCTCTTTGTCCGTTTGACCCAAGAGGTATGACAGAACCAGGCTCTTAGGCACATCCAATCTCTAGGGGCTTCACTGGACCTTGGACAGAGCCTGGCTAGCCATTGCTGAAATGTCTCTCCGAATCCTTCAGGCAACGGTCTGATGGAGAGGCCGTGTGGTCGACGCGTGTTGGACACAGCGACACCTGAAAGGTGAAAGGACGAAGGAATGACAAAAGAAGCCTAGACAAGGCGTTGTGGGTAGGTGGGTGATTGATCTTCCAAGGCATACCGGGTTTTGGATATGATGTTTGGATAGATGCGTATCAATGATTATCAAAGTAAGTCGCCAGACACATAGCGATGAATGGCTGTAATGCAAGGTTTCACTATCGATCCGTCCTAAGAAACTAGAGCTATATATTCGTGCCAAACCAGCAAATTCCAGAACTAATCAGGACCAAACAGAGGGGAGGGTCGGGCGCACTGTGTATCATTCAACACAGAGGGTCCCAGAAGTGTTTCAGAGGCCTTGTTGAAGGAGACCCTGCCAAGTCACCTCTTTGGAGCGGTCTCTTGCCTTCTCAGCGGTCTCTTGCCGATGACTTCCCAGAGATCGATGACTTTCTTAGATTCCCTTCTGCTGATGCGTGCACATGCGCAGACTCCCTTGTTTGTCCCTGATGACTCTTATGACTCATGACGCACCAAAGTGTCTCGCCCAGGCCGTGGAAGCACCAAGTGGGGTCAGTTTGGGCGCCCTGACACGAGTGACCAGGTCGTCCAGCAATCACACGTCAACAAGTCAAAAGGAATTGTCTTGACCACTGAGACAAGAAGTACAAGTATTACGATATGAATAGACATGGCATGTGTTTTTGTTTGAATGATCATCAGGTGGAATGGTCTGAATATGCCATTCATTTGTGGAAGCTGGTTCAGTTTCGCCAGTGGATGTCACTGAAGATGGCTTGGATCGCATTATTTCCCAGGCGCTTCGCTGCGGGCAGCGGCTGCATTGTCACCTCATCGAGGCTTTTGCCACGAACTTGGCTTTTCCCGATCTGCGATCGACGCGGAGATGGCCGACCTGGGCTGACACCGGGCTGTGGAGATGTTTGGGCTGTGGAAGATCTTGTGTTTCACAATAAAAGATACTCATGTAAATTCGGTTGAATGTCATCAACTCTCAAATGCCGGGCTTGGAAAACACTCACCTTCTCAGCTTCTCTTAAGAATCAGACGGCTACAGCAGGTAAAACAAAACACCTGGTCACCACACCCTGCAATAGTGGACACCCACTGATGTCGGAACTTGGAGAGAACAAGGTGTCCCCAAGGGTCGGAACAGAGATGCGAATTCAAATACCCTGAATTGGGTGAGTGGGTGATTCAACTTGAATGTGTGAGCTGACATCCAAACAGCATGTTCTATAAATATGTATTGCGGAACGCATTGGGTTCCCCACGGGTTCACTCATCGCATCGAACATCGTCCTGGCGCCCGAGATCACACGAGCTCGCCACAAAGGCGGCCTGAGGGATGAGGGATCGAGGAATCGAACACAAATGATGAGAGGATTCTATAGTACTAGTTGTCATAAGATCTACAAGTTGTCAGCAGGTTTGAGGCATTGAAGGTCTTCTAGTAATCTTCTAAAACCCATTCGGGAGTGAGAACATCACCTGGACCTGTGAGAAATCCTGGCTGTTGAAGAAGCATCGCTTGGTCCGGCGCCATCCCAAACCCTCTGACGCGGATGACAGCAGTCAGATGACGCGTCATTCGAAGGTGTGAAGTCTTGGCGCTTTCGGGGTCTTTTGACAGATGTAATTTGAAGAAGTCATGCAATTGCATCATTAAACAAACATGGTTTGACACTTTAATGACTTACCTGTATGAGTAGTTGTATGATTGCACAACTAATTGCAACATATACAGTACAGTACTTTGATAAAATAAGCATTGTCTTTGCAACTTGTGTACGTGTTTTAAGCAACAGGTTTGTGGTTATGTCGCTTATAAGACAATTATAATATAGTATGTGTTTCTTGATGCTTTGATTCATCAGCTGTTATGTATGTTGCCACTCGTTTGAATTTTTCGTGGCCCCTCAGCGAGGCCGCTTCGCCGGGCTCAGGCTCTCGGAGTTCACACTTCGGGATGAATTGGGAATTGGTTTGTGATATGAGGCAGAACTTGATCAAGTCTAGGTGTAGTGATCCGACATTACATGAAGAGTAATGATTTTGGTGGCCATGGACCAGGCACGATCTATGTTTCAAGATGAGTCCGAGTCCATGTTTTGGGATGTTTTTGGTGCCGAACATGGGCTCTCCCCCGACACCGACTGGCCAGACCACCAGCGCGCGCCTCGCCTGGGCCCCCGCCGCGGTGCCAATGCCAGGCAAAAGCGTTGGAGGAAGTGGCTGAATGTTTGTTACAGGAGATCCATTGGAGTTCAATAGGCTTTAGAATGCTTTGTATGGCGCCTTTGGGCAGCCCGGACCGGCCATCCGGACATTAGTCTTCTTGTTTCATTTCAAGATGTGGATGAGGAGATTGAGAGCATCCAGTGGAACCGATAGGTCTCGCCAGCCAGAAGGAGAAGCGTCAAACTGGTGCTTTGTGGCCCAACTTCACTTTTGTTGTATGAACCTCACTGTCAAAAAGCGCCTCACAACTAGATACGGGTATTAGGCTTGGCTTGATTGAAAAAGACACGACCTGCAACCGGGGAAAAGAAGATCCTGCGGATCGGTCCGCTCCGGTAGTTCAAACGGGTCAGAGGACACGACTGGTCAAGGCTGAAAGGGGCCAGTTCTGGCCGATATCATTGACATTCGAGCATAGATATCATGCCAAAACATCCCAAAGCCACTGTCTTGTGGAATTGGAAACAAAAAGAAGCAAAGAGCTGTTTGGATATGTTGGATATTCATAGGACAATAGACTCCAAAAGCCCTTAACACTAGATCCAAGAGACCAAGAGATGCAAGAGAGGCTGGCTTCAGTTGAATCATGTCCAGCATTTCCCCGTGTCCACCAGGGATTCCCTAGTTTGGTCTATCCTTTCATCTTTCGTCGAATTCTCCAGTGTTCATTCCGATTTGTGATCACGCCCTGGGACAACATGGCTCAACATCACTGGTGAAGCAGTGGGTCATGTCATTTCTTCCACCATCATGTGAAGCCGATTTGGATGTCTCTTCCAGGTGATGAGAAGCCGGATGCTCCGCCGGAGGTCCAGTGCCTGTCGGTATCCGGCCTACGATGGGCCATGACGCCACAAGGGGGACGAGCCACCAGAATGACACCATTTGGAGGGATCAACAACACTATGGAATGCTCAATTTTGCAACTGTGCCCATGTTTTTTGTTTCTTCAGTGGTTTACTTGCTTGCTGCCAGCAATTCTATGTAGAATCAGGTACATTATATGTATATATATGGTACTCCCCCCCCTGAGATCCACACTTCATGGTGTTTCCAACACTTTTCAAACCCAATGCAATGATCCAATGTACATCTGCTTGCCTCAATGCAACCAAACATCTGCTTGCCTCAATGCTACCAAACATTTGCTTGGCTCAACGCAACCAAAACAGTGTCCGGGCATCGAATTTCATGTTCTTTACTTAGACAAATTCAGACTTGGGATTTCAGACTTGAGATTCTCAAGTCTGAACAGCTCATCCACGGATCCAAGATCCAAGATTTCAGAAAACTCTTGTCCAGAAGTCTTGGATCCATGGATCCAAGATCCAAGATTTCAGAAAACTCTTGTCCAGAAATCTTGGATCCACGGATCCAAGATCCAAGATCCAAGACTTCAGAAAACTACTCTCCAGAAATCTTGGATCCATGGATCCAAGATCCAAGATTTCAGAAAACTCTTGTCCAGAAATCTTAGATTCACATACAAATGAATTCTCACAAAACACCAACCTGGGCCACTGGGAGTCATTTTGAGTAGATTCCAGCTGAAACCAAACAAGAGTCAGGTCCCTGTGATATAATATCATGTGATATCCCATCATGGGCCCATTACGCCTATCATCCTGGATCCTGATTGAAGTCTTGCCAAAGTAGAACTAAACAGCCGAACCGTCGTTCCAGATCCTTGGGACGTCCTACCGTTGCAGGCGACGCCGGGTGGACCGGCGGCCGTGGACGCGTGCAAGTCTGCGGAAGCTACGGACCCCGGCGCTTCCGGGGACGCGGCAGACGGTGCAGCGCCATTGGCTCAGGTTGTTGTGCGAGAGATGAGTTTCCATGGGGGCTGCGTCATGGTTGCGTGCTTTACCGGAGCGCTTCGTTTGTGTTCGTTTCGGTGGTTGCCATGTTGCACAACGCACTGAAGTCGTGCTGAACGCTTCATTGATCGCTCCCCTCGCTTCGAAGCCCCAGCCAGGTTTTCTCGTTTTGCGGAAGGGTACTATCTTCATGGAGGATCCTATTGTGCGATTAATACTGTATTCCTTTGATTTTATATCATTCTATGGAGCCCGCATAAAACGCATTGGCCGTGGCATGAACGCATCGCTCGCCAGTCGCACTGCGCTATCGGTGTTTAGATCATTCTAGTCGCCCTTATTTGGGTTCCTGTCCATCCCACATCCGTTTGGGTTCACTGCTTGGGATGGACTGGGTACGGCCCAAACGGGGGGTAGACCGAAACCTCCGAGTCTGAGGGTCCCATCCGCACCTTCTTGGAAGCGATTGGTGCCTCGTGAGCACGGGAACCAGACCAGAGACCGGTGGAAGACTGACTTGAACCGGTCTTCCAGAAACAATAAAACATATTTGCATTTGAATCAAGACGTCCCCCAATTTTGGAGAAGGAATCTCAAGTATAAGCTATAAGTATTATAGTGACTAAGTATTTGCATGTGTTTTCTGTTATGTTGTTATTTATTGTTTCTTTCGTGGGGAGGTCGACGATGTGCAGGATTCTCTTTCCGTTAACTAGTCGACCGTCCGAACAGTGCCGATTGGGAAAGCATTAGCAGCTGACATTCAGGCTGATTCTTTGGCCACAGCATGGCATCCAAGAGAATGTGTCTCGCACATTTGCCGAACTTGTCCACCGGTTCATGAAGACATCACACATTCATCTCAGTCTTGGCCAGCCAGCTTTGCCTTTCTTTTGAGTTGAGAGGACATAGCATCCTTTGCCACGTAGTCATTTCTCAGAAGATCATCTCAAAGTTGTTCAATTGCTCGCTTGCCAAGTCAAATTCCAAATATGAAGGGTTAGATAGTTGGTTATATAGTCAATGCACAGACTCCCTGTTTCAGGCTCTCTTGCTCCGAGAAGTCCCTTGACTGGACATTTCAGAACCAAAGAAGGCTTCACAAAAAAAAGAGGAGGAGCAAGGCCAAGAAGAGAGTACTCCATATAGTACTATATCTTTTTTCACCTGTAACTCTTTGGGTCTACATAGATCTTTATTGTTGTTCATTCGATTTCTTTGTTTGCTCAGGAAAGGACGGTGACACAGTACGTCTCCAGACGCAATGTGACCCTGTCCGCCTGGCATGGTGTTTTCTGCCTGCTGTCCCGAATGACAGCTAGAGACTGGTTGGTTGGATAACTATGGAAAACGATTGCATTGACCAGAGGTTCCCAACAATTTTTCACAAAAAAAAAAAATATATATCCAAAAGAAGCCAGAAACTGTTGACTGCTAGTTGAGTAGAACATGGTAGAACCAAAAACACACAGTTTCTTCATCCCCAACTTCCTTTTGGATTCCTCCAGCACAACCTTCCACCCCCGTGGACTGCATTGCCAGGTCTGAGTACGAGCAAGTTCAGCAGAGATACGAAGGGTGTGGAAACACAGTTTTCTCCACTGCAGTTCAGTTGTGACTGCTTGGTCTCAAAACTGCGAGGGCGGAACAGAACAGCAGATAGCTTTGATGTGTGTATATCTTGTAAATATTTGTAATATGTAGTATTGATTTTGACCTGAACAAATGTATTAATTATGCAATGTCATTGCATTATACATTTGTTCAGGTCAAAATCAATACTTGTAGTTTCCCGTTTGCCGAGATGGAAATTGGGAACTAGTGATCTCACTTGGATCTCCTTGCCTTTCAAGAACACTTGTTCGATCACTTGCTTGATGGAAGAAGAATTCAATCTTCCACAGGGTTCCAGGACTTATAGGAATTGGAATCAGGCGATTAAGACTGACTGCTTTATATAGGTGTTTTTGTTCTGTTTCAGTGAAGCATCGGTGCACCATGGTGGGGACCCAGTGGAATGGGTATTGTGAATCCAGTGGTTCTGGACATGGTTCAGTGGGCGTTGGTTCACGCATGCGTTCCGCGCGGCAGAGGCCAGCGTCTCACAGGGTTCGACACCCTGATGGTATTTGATGGCCAATAATGAGCGAATAAGATATACAAAAAAAACAATTGTGACAAAATATTGATGATAAACATAGGTAATTCATTGGTATAAATGATGTTGGACAAGCTGATGGTCATCAGAAGGAGCGAATGGTCGCAAGATGCAAGGATATGTTTTCCGAGCTTGCAAGACCAAGGGTTCCCATGAAGCTTGAATTCACATGAAGAATAGATTCTATATTCACTTGGGAGGGCTAGCAGGTAGCATTTGAGTTGCAGTCCAGTTGTATACCGTTTTCAGATTAGTTCCCCTATCAAAGATCATGACTTCATACTACGTATACTTTTGGTGTTCTACTTAACCCCCCCGGTCAAGCTGACTTTCGCAAAACTCACCAAGGCACATGAACACACTCAAAGTGCTGTGTGAGACAGTGAGGGCGCAGGGATGCCAATCGTCAGGGGTCCGGTCCCAGACGGTGGGTGTTATGACTGAATCATGCCCCCTTCACAAAGCCAAGTAGATCGTAGCCACACTGGCTTTTTTTTTGCGAAACCGCATGAGATGAACGCTTTTGGGGGAGCTGCATTTGACATCTTTTGAGATTTGTTCAAGAGGACGCGTGCCGCTCTTTTTTTCACGAGAGCGCTTGCCGCTCTGGTAGCGACTCGATGGATTTGTTTGTTTGTCGGAGGATCTGGTGCGGGTCATTGAGACATCTCTACAACGTTTGTTGAAGGTGATATAAAATTGTATACAAATTGTATACAGTCTAAACATATTGAACTTTTATTGCATCATCTCATGTTGTACCAGAAATATTGTTGTTGTTGTCGGGGTGCTTGTTGTGGTTGCTGATGTTGTCGTCGCGGTTGTGGTCGTAATCCTTATCCTTGTCGTTGTTCTTTGTAATTATATAATATTTGTATATTAGTTTGTATATGTATATATATATGCAATTATATAAGTTTGTTGTGAGTGGACATGTCCTGCTTTAGATACAACATTATGAACATTATGCAAGAATAATGTTCCCTGGTTGTGGTAGTTTCTCTCCAACACATGATACCGCTACCGACCGCTACAACCCACTTTGGGTGGTGCCTTTGCATGTTGATGAGAAAGGTGTGGATCATCCTGCTCTTCAACTTCTGTTGTGTGATTTAGCAACTGGGTGGGGTGTGGTATCGGGCAAGGCATATGACATATGCAAGTAGTACATGCACAAGTTGGCTGTCCCGAGGCATGTGGAGGCCAAACAGGAGACATTCAGCTTTGGCCACACCCAAACACAGACTTTCGGATTCTCAAATCCATATCGATTCAGCGATCAGTGGGCTGGTGGGTCGGCTTAGGCCGGAGAAGGAGAAAAAGATCATTCACCGCGGAAGCCGCGCCTTGGCATCCATCCGCGCCTTCGCATCCATCCACATGGTCTTCCAAGAGCTTTTGAGTCAACTTGGATGCCATGGATCCGATCCAGTCTGGCACTGCAACAGGTTGAGAAGCCCGGAATTGGATTCCATAAAGCGAGCTGTCACCACTACCTGGGGCAGTCACCCCCAAGCCGTCGTCGACTCTGAGCTCCGGGGAGGCGGCCTGAACTTCCGGGATCTCCAGGAAGAGAAGGACCGACTGACCAGTCAGACCGGGACCGTTTTCCGGATGCCTAGCGATATCTGTGGGGTGCGAGGTGTTTAGATGCCAAGCGAACGTCGGTGCAAAGGCGTTTATACAAAATGGCATGACTATAATTGTGTGATGAAGTTTATGAAGCGGCACGCAAGAGAATCCCACAAAGCACAAGCTAGGCGCTGGCACGGCGCTTGAGGTGCCGCTAGTTATTTTTGATTTCTATGTCAATTGCCAGAAGCTGTGATGTACATATGGCCAGTAGGGCTTTTGCTTTAGTTTGTTTGGTGGGATTTACGGGAGCTTGCCTTGTCAATGTCCAACAGCATGTGTTTTTAAGGCAAGGCATGAAGATGCCAACTATCCTAGTCACCTGCCATCCCAGTCATGCATAGCTGCCTGCAGATGAGCAAACATACGCACCTCCAAAAACATGTGATCGAGGTTTGTTCATGTTCATTTGCTTTGCTCCAACATCATTCATATCGAGGAGGCCGCCAGGCCTATGTAATGAGGAACACAAAAAATAACGAAAAGCACTTTAGCTGCGGCAGCTGGTCGCGGCCCAAGGCTTTACAACCGCTTGGGCCGCACAATTCAATGAGGACCCTGAAGGGACTTCCACCCACACAGATCACGTAGACGCACGGATCCAGGACTTCCAAGACTTCCTGGAACTTCGTGATCCTCTTTTGGGCAGCCGAGCTGGAGATGGGTGGCCCAGAGTTGGTCGCCAGGGTGAATTGGATTTAGGTGCAGACAACTGACATTTCTAATTGCTTGATTCACAGTATTCACAGTATTATTGATTACTGTTATTCCTATCAGAGTTCCAGTATTGATTCCCGCAGCAAACAGTGGTAACGGTTTCATAGGATATCATAGAATACTGTACCATAGTCTCCAAGGCGGTGTGAAGCAACCTGGTTTGGGGCATTTGAGGTGTCCATTTGCATGTGGGCTGTATACTTGTGTTGATCAAATTTGATCAGCAATGGGCCCGGCAGACTAACATGGACCCCTGGCCATTGCACAGAAGAATACTCTGACGCAGGGCCTGCATCCGCACCGTCCATGTTTTAGCCATTGCACACCTTTCCATGTTTGTCCGATGGGTTTCTTGATGAATCCTTATTGGCAGCTGACTGCCCGTAGACGGGTGTACGGGTGTCCTGTTGATTTTGAGTCTCTTCAACTTTCTGTACAACCTTGCTGCCAGCTTCAGGCCAGACCACGGAGCTGTTCCCCACGACAGGTTCGCAGGGTATATTGTTCACAGTGGGACAATTCTACAGGAAGATGCAGGAGGTCTAAATCGAGAGTTACCTTTCTACATTCCCTGAAATAATCATGGAAGTGGACAAAAAGCACCTGAAAGACTGTTCTTCTACTACAAACAGATGGCTCTCCACTTCCATGTGAATGACTCGCTCGGAGGGTACTGTCATTCCTAGAACTTTGTTACGACAAAAACTCTTGCCGTTTTCATGAAACGTCGCCTTTTTCAGTCCTGCGGCGGCGTTCTTCCATATGGATCTCATGCGGTTTCGGTCAGTTGACGGCAATTTTGGTCCACGCATCCATGTGCCTCAAAGGGTTATAATTATATATATTGTTAATGCAGGTGAGTACTGTATGAAGACATGATAGGGTCGCTGGTAAGGTATTCTTGTTGAGAGGCGATTGAAAGTAAGAGGCATTTCATTAAATCAGCAATTAGCATAGTTGTGCTTTACATACCTTGACCAGATGTGAATCACCGTGTGAAGTGGAACGACAAGTTGAATGACTCTATAAACCTCCCTGTTCACGCTTAGTAGCGGGCTTGTCATATGAATGGTTCGTGTAAGCAAAACCTTGGTGTGCGCAAGGTTTGCGTAAGCTTGTTGTGGAAGATAAGAGTTGCGTAAGCAAGCCCAAGTATCAGCGTGCATGTCATGTCACAGTCACATTTACACACCGTTGCACTAAATAATAAAAAAATATATTTATGGACAAACTTCATACACCAGTGGACCACTGAAACATGCAGGGTGTGTTTCTGACAAGCTGCTTGAACATCCTTAGAAGACGTACAGAACTGAACTGAAGAACAACCAATCAGTTTCAAGCGTTTGGTGTCGGAAATCCGCATAAGTACCGCGTAAGCTCGGCGTAAGCCTGTTGTGCCCAAGCCATGTATGACTTGTTGGCCGCTCATTGCCCAGCGGCAGATGTAACAGATATGTTAGAGATCTGTTGCATTCAGTGCTTGCCAAGTGCCAATCCTTTCAAACCAGATATGTTTGCTGGAAACGCGGTGTGAGTGCTTTGCCTGGAAAGCAGATTGCGCGCAAGCTGTGACTGGCGCAGTGCTAAAATTCATGGGCGTAAGTGTTGCGTAAACCCCTTGTTGCAAGAACTGCGCACGTAAGCTGCTATTGTGATCGCGTGAGGGGCGCGTAAGGAGTGGCGTAAGAAAAATCTTATCACGTAGACAGATGCCATAAGTTTTGAGAGCCGTTGATGGAAGTGCCACATACTGGGATTTCGTCGGTGTTCGTGAGTAGCTCGACCTTTGCGCAGCCTTGCAGAATCTCCAGCTTTTGAATTGCTGCGTTTTTGACCGTACTAACAGCGTTTTTCATCGTTTTTTTCCCTGTACTAACCCTGAGGATCGAAGTATGCAAATAGCTCATTGTCGGATAAGTATATCAAATAGCATCTACTTTTCCCGCAACCCTCCAAAACGTATACTTATCGAAAAACTTGTCGGAAACTTGCAATAACCTTGGTGGATCTGGATCATGTGCTTTGCAAGTTGGCTCCATTTAAATGGTGAGGGATGAAGCGAATGGACTTGAAGCAAAAGCAGCCCTACATAAACTGAGCATGAGGGAACCACATGCAATATCGATACATTAAATGCACTTTGATTTAGGAGATCACCAGGTGCATTTTTAGGAAACCATCAGGTGTCTCACTGTGCATTAGAGCCGTGAATGAAGCGTGCCATAGCCACGCACCGGGTCAACCGCGATGTGGGACATCGTGGTGTTCGTGCTGGCAGGGGGGGCGACGCTTCTGTTGAGCCTTCCTGGAAGAGATCTAAGAAGTCTCTTGATGGTGAGGTGGGTGTTGGCAAAACGAGATCTAGAGGTCTCGAGTGTGGTTCCCTTATGCTGTTTTGAATCCCTAGCGATATATGTTTAATATTGCCTTTGCTCAAGTCCATTGGCCCTGCAAGGTGACTAACATTGTGGAGCACTTTGGTGGTGCGCCTTCCGGAAGCCGGGGTGTGTTCTTGGGAGATAGTGGTTGAGGGTGGTTGAGGCATCAAACATGTGACATGCCATGGCTTTAAGCACTCTGGAGAATTTAGATATTTAGATTATCTAGCAGCTCCAAACAGTTCTGTTTTTTGGGCTGGTAGGGTTCAGGCCACCCAGTCCACATGCGAATCGCATGCACCCCACAGGCTGTTTTCCCAACCAAGCGGGTGCGTTGACGTCACCGAAGCTCGTTTGAGCTTGCCTGCGCCATGGACACCAAAGCGCAGATGTTCATTTTGGAGGATTCCGGGCACTGGTGGTGTTTGAGAACCTAGTGGAACCTAGCATGTTTCTAGTAGGGTCATATTAGTGAAGTGTCTCTTAGATTGTGTCGGGCCATCCAATGCCCTGAGGACTTCATGAACTCCTGGCTGCTGGAGGATGGGCAGCTGGATCGTGTTCGGAAGGAGCTTTGGTTTTAAACTCATGGTCCACAACCTAAAACGCATGTAAGTTGAAATTTGCAAATTACCACTAAGGTTTGTAGTAGCTAGCTCCTTTTCACTTTTGCTAAACCACCCCACTGAGGACAAGGTCATACTGCAGGTGCCCACTGATGGTCCACTCAGTGCTGACATGGCTTCTCATCTTAGAGTTCATTACGTGTTTTCTTTCTGCTGAGGGATGCCTAGAAATCTCTTGGGGAAATGTGTATGCTTAAAACCGTTCAATCAACAACGGAGGTTAAGCCCCATTGGCGATTCATCATGGGCTATTTTGCGAGCTTCGACGACTGCATCATTCCCAACCTGAAGTGCCACACGGTGGCCAACTTCTGAACTGAAAACAGTTTTACATGTTGTGTTAATCCTCTGGTGATTTGGTAGCAAACTAGTTAAAATTGAATATCTGATCTCCCTGCCAGGCGGTGTTGACTGTTCTGGCCAAGCGGTACATGTTGTTGGGGGAGAAAGTTCGCTCCAAAGCAATCAAAGCAACTTGGCATGTTTAGATCAAATCTTTATTTAGTAAATCCTGTCACCACCAAAGCTGAATCCCACCTCTGATGGGCATTTGGTGGGGGTGTATACAGCGTGCCTTTAGTGGTGTCTGGTGTAAGGATTGGGCCGAAACAGAAGCTCCCAAGATCAGATGTGCTCTGGTGCATTCTTTGCAGTTGGCAAGACGGACCCCAAGGGCAAAGTGCCCTGTGATTGCCAACCTCAAGCAATTTTTGTTGAAGCTGCTTGTATCTGCAGGCGTGTTATTCTGTTCTTTTCAGGAAGACTAGTTTTATTTAAAAACCAACTGAAATGTTCCTTTTCAAGGCGAAACCTTCCCCTTTCCACCACAAGAACTTCTAGCCCTTCAGGTGGTGATGCCAGCCAGGTGGATTATGCCATTCAAGCCGCCATTCAGGAGGCAAGTTTATATAGCGGTTTCCGAAGTGATCAACTTCGATACCATATATATTAGAACATGCAACCAATAGCAGGGCGATTGCACCACACAAACGCGATGTTCTACTTTGAAAACCTCCACTGTCGACTCAGACCCTGGAACCTCGCCTGCATGATCAGGATACTCGTGCATCGCCGCCGCCTTTCAATAGAGCTTTGACCCCGGGAAGTGCTATTTCACTGGAGTCAACACCGGCTACCACAGCTACCCCACCATCTGTCGCTTCAAAGATGGTGTCCTGCTCTAGATTTGTTATTGTCTAGCTGTCAGCTTTTATGTACAAAACAAAACATGTTCTTGTCTGATGTGGTTGCGTCTCTTTCCCAAAAACAAAACATGCATGTATGGAGTCTATAATTGTATATCTAATTGGGGTGATTCTGAAGTGTTTTATGTCAATACGGTAGGTCATACACGTCAATAACAGTCTGGGTTTGGCATACAAGTGAGGCTGTATCTTCCCCTGATGAGATGGAGACCCAGTTGTGCGCCGACATGGAGGCAATGCATTTGGATTTTGAACAACATGTTCCTCCAGATCCATGTCCGCATCAGCATGTTCAACACCGGAGACAGGCCGACAAGGACCACAAACAAGATCTGCTTTCAATTCATTATTAGAGGGGGTGGGTAACATGTACATTGAATCATGGTGCCCCTGGCCAAGCTCCCCAAGTGTTATACACATGTTGTCAAACTCAGGTGGGAATAGAGCTTATAAAATTTAGAGATGGTGCTCTTCTCACATTGCAGGACCGGAAGCCAGTGCAACCTGTTCCAACCGAGTTGACCGCTGACTTTGAGAAGGAAGCCGAAGCTGAATTCAACAAGCTCTATCCGGAAGCTGACGTTGAAATGGATGTCCATGCTGCGCAGCTCAAGGCCATATATACTTAATGTTTGAAGAACGTGTTGTTCAAACATGTGCCTGATGAATATGTTAATCATCATGACCCTTACCGCCTACCCTTCTGCTACCGCTCGTCCTTCAGGCCCAAAAAGCCCGGCGGATCACTGATGCCGAGCAGCTTGTGAACAAGGCATCAGCTGACAAGAAGGTGCAGAAGGTAATTGGGAAGAACAAACCTTCCGGGCGTGGCCGTGGTCGGGGCAGGGGCAGGGGCAGTGCGAAGGCGAAGGCCAAACCGGCCAGTGGGGTTGAGGGTCCCGAAGAAGAACATGGGGAGGATCCCGAACATGAAACTGAGGAGGATGATGACACTGTGGAACCAGAAGCTGCTACTAGTAGCAAACCATCTGCTACAGCGAAGGGTGGTGTCAAGAGTGGTGACACCAAAAATGGTGATAGTGGCAACCTTCCTGATCTCATGAAAGAACGCTGGGAAGCGGTGGAACCATGGATGTATTCAAATAGCTTTTGGTTTAATGACACTAACAAGTCTATAAGAGACTTTTCAGTAAGTTTTATACTGTACCCTGATGAATTTTAGAATCCTCACTTCTGCGCAACTTGCTGAGGAAGACAGCTTGAAAAAAGCTGGAATTCCAATCCCTGATAGCGCCAAGATGAAGAAAAGCTTCA